ATCTCTCCTGTTTTAATTCTCACAGATCTCACTTGCTACAGTGACTACAATAGAAACATCACCTGTTTGTGGAACAGCAAATACGTGTCTGATGACACTGCATGCACCATACATGCTCAATATAAATCTCGCTACGTGTAAGGAGCTCAGTCACAAAGAGAAATCCTCAACACATAAAACTCGCATAACATAAATCACAGATGTCATCATGTGCACCAAAAAGAGATTAATACTGTTTCTCAGTTCTTACAGCGCTTCCTGTGACCTAAAATCTGTTGATGTCTCCAGACCAGCGCTAAAGAAGTGCTCCCTGATCTTTGAAATGGAATACACTGTGAGTGTGTGAACAAATCAAGTTATTGTAGCGCCACCGAGATAAAATCATATATCCTATATCTCAGTTTGTAGTTTAGAAGTCAGAACTAATATTCTGCAGAAAGTAGAAAGTAACATTCTCGGGGCAGTCATTGACTCCTTCCAAATAGTTTTTCTGTCGTTGGAAAAAATTAAGCTTTTGTTAAGCCCCCTTTGAAGTTTGCCAGACAGAAACTTCCGTAATAAATGTTTTCTAACAGTAAATATTTTAAAACATTGTTTTCCAGTTTCTGTCTTTCCATGAGTTGTCCCTTAATCTGAGCTGCAACCAAATGAAGAGTGTAATCACTTCTTTCAAGCCATCCTGTCACAGTGAGTGTAATCTACAGTATAAATACTGGCTCTTTGTGATTTACAGTGCGAGCTATTCATGGTGAATTAAAACAACTGTGTGTGTGATCTTGCAGTAAAGGTGAATCCTCCTGCAGAGCCAAAAGTCAACTTCACGTCTGTTTCCTGGTTGTCCCAAGTCCCTGAACATGAAAGGATCAGTTCATACAGAAGTGAAGTCGAGTGGAAGAAGCAGGATCAGTCATGGAGTGTAAGTTTAGATTTTATGACACAATGTGAACAAGTTTAAGTTGAGATTGTGAAAGTTTATATGTGAAACAAGATTCATTCTTAACCCCACACTGTTTTCTGTGTCAGGATCCCGCTGTGCAAAAACCTGGCATTCAGTGCGAGCAGGAGTGCAAGGCAGAGCTGGAGCCAGATTTGCTGATACAAGGCGAGAGATACGAGGCACGAGTTCGTGTGCGATCTATTTTTCAGCACCGCGAGGGAGCCTGGAGTGACTGGAGCCCCACTGCATCATGGGAGTCACCAGTAGGGAAAATAAAACCACCATCAGGTACATTTATCTCAACATGTTTTGTTTAACATAACATACCAATGTCAAAACCTTTCCAATTCATTCGTGCTGAGCATGATTACTGCAGTATGGAATAATTATGTATATGTGAAAAGGTTTAACCCTTTAAAGCCGGTCGGAGCGGGCATGCTCCGTTTTCCCTAACTATTTTTAAATCCCGGTAGCACTGCAACCACGTAAGCTAGCGCAATCATTTTTTTTGCATATGAAACCGGAGGAGTTGTACTTGCATGGTATGCCGTCAGCTTGTCCTAGGTCCCGGCTTCCTTCCACATACTGCTTTGCAAAAATTGCATAAAAAGCACTTGCAGCAACAAAAACACAATATTCCAGAAACAGGCTTTGCCAAACCGATCAGCTGTTCATAACACTTCCTATGTTGGAATAGACGTCAGCATGAACTATCGCATGTCCGCCATGACCTGCCTGAAACCGGAAGTGACGTCATTTTCGCAGAAATGTAGTTTTTTACCATCAGTGCCTTGTAAGCCTATAGTGGTGTTTTTAAAAGTTATGTTTGACTTTATGACTTTGTCGTTTCTGGGATGCTTAGAAGTCAAATTGAAA